TCTATCTATCTATCTATCTATCTATCTATCTATCTATCTATCTATCTATCTATCTATCTATCTATCTATCTATCTACATTTTTTAAATTGGAAGACATGTTGAGAAAGGTTTACACAAAATCAAGCAAAGTAGGAGGGGGTAATGATGTAACAAGAATCAAGAAGAAAACACTTTTGCTATCAAATCGTTAAGGAGACACAGTAAACTGTAAGGAAAAATACCCCATTATGACTTTCAGTATTCTAAGAACTATGTCTAGACTGCAATGTGAACAGAAATCAGGTTTAGAAAAAAAAAAGAAAAAAAATCATTTATCTTTGACAAAAGTATGTTGACTCATCTAGACAGATAAACAAAACACAAACAGAAAACAAAATCAAATAAAAAACTGAAAAAGTAGAAATTGTTGGTTATGTCTGTGTGCATGTATTGTGAACTCTAAATGTAAATAAGCTCTGCTAAAATGGACACAACATGACCAAACAAAACTAAACAATCTTAAAACAAGGCTTGAAATCTTTTTTCTATGTCAGGTTTTATGCAACCATAATGAAGAGATATGTTGACGATTCATATTATATTATTAGTTTTGTCTTTCATTTGACCAATTCTAATAATATTTAGTCAAAGTTTCCCATTGGGAAAGACAAACCTTTGTTATGCTTTGCACTCAGTAGCTCAGGATAGCTTGTTAGTCTCACTGAATAAATTGTTTGAAACAACAACAACATGCAAATCTTCTATTTCCAGTTAAGATGCAGGTCAGGATGCACTTTTGTTTAAACAAGCATAAAGCACCTTAGCATCTGATTTATTGTAACTCTGTATGTGATAAGTATGTACCTCTGAAACGCTGATTTGATTGTGAACATTGGCTGGAATCATTGAGCAGCCAATCTAAAGACAATCTAATTGTCTTTAGAATGAATAGGAGTTAAAACCAAACATGAAGCATCTTGGAGATCTTCAGGCTGCTTTAGGAATTGTTATATATCAGAAACAGAAAGAAAAGTAATTTTTTTTTTTAGCAATGATAAATGTGGACATGTGATTTCTCCACACCGTATGAGTCACTGATGCGCACTAACTTATATATCCCTATCTGCTTTAATGCACACGGTAGTAAGATTTACGTAAAGAGTTAATTTAGTTCAGAATCTATCATGAACATTTTTTTTTTTTTTTTTGGGCAAAAAACTTAAAGACAAACTGCCAACTTCTAAATAAAAAAAACTTTAAATACTTTTGCAGAAACATCCTGCAGGAGATTGAACAGTTTTGAGCGGTAACTTGGATTGATAAATTTCCATCTTAACCTCCCACTAACTGGTGGCAGGACATTAGGGGAATAGTGGCCTAATACAGGTAGTTGGAGTGGGTTGCTTCCATTCTCTCAGTCCCTGAGCAAGACTCTTAGTCCCATATTTTTTCCTTAGTGCTCCAAGCTTCCCACTATTCCCTGTTTCGTGTTGGTTTGTAGTTTTTGGGAACCTAGGTTGTTCTTCAGGTCCATAACCCTCCCAATTGACCAGATACTGAAAACCCCTTTTTCTGCGATAAGCATCCAAAAGCCTTTGCACAGTGAATGCTAGGTGCTCGCCAATGCCAATAGTGGATGGAGGGGGACTGTTAGAAGGGCAGATTGAGAGCAGTCTTGTCCCCAAAAAAGTACAAAATTTCTTCCAGTGGACGTTTAGTTGTAGGCAATGGTTGAAAAAGACAGCTGGGATGGTGGTGACTAGTTTTGTTGTGGGCACATATTGGATATGCTAACTTTTAACATCCTTACATATTGTAGACCACCAGAAATTTAATTTAAAAAGTGCTAAAGCTGTGTTTATTCCAGGATGGCAGGATAATTTTGCTGTTTGGGCCCAGTGAATTAGGTGGGGCCTAAGGAAAACATGAACATAAACCCAGTTCGGACGTCCAGTTCCAGGTTCCTGTTCGGTACGCCCCCAGGATTTAATCCTTTATTTTAGCATGGATGGTAAGAGATGAGGAACTTAAAACAAGGGAAAAAACAGAGACAAAAGTAATTGTCTAGGTTTCAGAAATGTTGCTTCTCGGAGATAGGCCAGTGCGCACTGTACAAGGATTTTCAGCTCCCTCCAACCAGTTGCGCCTCTCTTCAAAAGCCATTTTTATGACTACGAGCCATGTATTGGTTCAAAAGCTGCTGACAGGAGAGGGATTGGCTCTTCTTTTTCAAAATAATCTGGTTTAGGCCCCTGTAATTAATGTAAGTTGTTAGTGATCCAACCTTGTTCCAGAAAAAGAAAAACCTGCTCCAATAGGTGCGGTGTGGATAATTCCTGCAGCTACGGAAAATTTATGCACCTCTCCACACTCTCTTTCTAAGGATTGGATAGGTTTTACAAGTAGCTCAATAGCACAGTCATATGGGCGTGAAGGGAGGGAGAGAGAGAGCCTTAGACTTGCTGAAAACCAGATGAAGGTCATCATACCCAGGATGAACCAGGGAGAGGTTTCCTGCAGTTTCCTGTTCTTGAGAATTCAAGACTGGAGACATGGCCAACTGTAGACAGTTTAACAGACAGAGGTTACTCCATGACTCAAATCTATTGTCTTTCCAGTTCAGGTGAGGATTATGAAGCATGAGCCAGAAGCATCCTATAACAATAAGACATTAGGATGAAGAGAAAAGGAAAAAGTTCTTCAGTGTGATTGCCTGACACCAGAAGTTTTACTGGTTCTGTTTGGTGTGTGATTACATGCAGAGGACTTGCTTCTAGAGCCGAGACATAAAGTGGTTCAGGTATGTGTACAGCAGGAAGAAGTAATCGATCAGCTAAAATGTTAGTCAGCTAAATACATGCTAGTCATCTTGAGTGAGAAATGTTCCCGGGGGTGCAGCAACATGGGTCAGCCCTGCCACGAGCAAAGATCCTGTCTGTGACAGGAGGCTCACACACACCTGAAAAAAATGCACGCCCCAAGAGACCCTAACACCCTGAGGTTTGGCTTAAATGCATGGGTCAAGTTTTCATTTACATTTGCAATGACTGATAATGATAATTATTATTTGGAAACTCATGAACTTAAAATTTTAATTAGCAGATAAATCATATGTAAGGTTGACCAGTTTGTTCTGATCACAACACTCTTCAGAGTAGAAGCTGTTACTGAGGAAAGGGGACTCTAAGCAAAGCTTTTAGAATTGAAATTAATTAAAAAAAAAGTTGTTAAAAGCTGAAAGAAACTGTTTTTAAAAGGCTGCTCCAATAGAGCACTAAACTTTGGTTGATCAGCGTGGACTATGTACATATTTCTAATGAATGTTGCCCTTTAAGGGTCACAGGATGGCTGAAATTAATGTGGTAATGTTGTATTTTTTACCCTGCTGAGCTCTATGCAGGAGCATGTGGAGGAAAAAAATGCTTGTTATGGAAATATTGGCTACCTTTTGGAAATCATACAGTTAAGGAGTCCAAAATCTCTTGTGACTGAATAAAGAAACTGATGTTTATACCAATAAGACTAAACATGCTAATATTGCTATAATTTATATAAGTAAAATGTTTAATCCAAATAGCGTTTATATGAAAATAACAATAACAACACTAGTTTACAGCATCTGCGCTTTCAAAGGGGATGTGATCTCAACTGTTCTAAGAAACCTAAAATAACTTATGTTAGGATAGTAGAAGGAATTGCTGGAATTAAAATTGTTGATGAGGATATCAACATTGTCTTAAACAAGTATTCACAATTTAATAACTAAAGTCTGCTACAAATTTTTGAATGAATCAGAATGATTTTGCATGTTAGCGACAAATTAAACCATCTACTGTGGTGTTGGTGTTGTGGAAAAAATAATCCAGGTCAGTATAATTTGACACCATGCTCACCCTCTGGAGCAGCTGTGCGATTTTGACTCTTCAGCCTCAGCGATGGCCTAAAACGTGTCCGATCGTTGAAGCTCCAGCTTTTCTGCACTTTGGCTGGGCTCCCGCCCATCAGCTCATTACTGCCCACCACCTCGTTGCCAGGGGAACAGCGCTGGCGATCATTGATGGATGTCTGCCTACTCTTCATGCTTTGACCACGAGGACTCGCCATTCGGACTCGCTCCTTGAAACTCAGTTTTTGACTGAGGAGATGGATTAAAAAGAGAGAGTGGGGGATAAGCTGATGGATGGAAGGAAGGTTTTAAGTAAAAGTAAGGAAATGAGGTATAGAGATAAGAAGAGTGAGAGAGTTCAAGCTGGAGGTGACAGAGAACTAGAAGTGAGACAAGAAAGGATGCTGTCAACAATAATTTTCCCTCAGATAGTGAAAAAAATCAGAGCAGAGTTTTCATCTTTTCCTTTAGACGAAAGCCCATCCATCCAACTGACATGCCCAAAACACTAAATCAGAGCCAGACTGATCGCCAAGCCACCAAAATAATAAAACCCCTCATCGCTGGTTCCTGAGATGCTGCAAAGCAATCTCACATCGGCTGATAATGTATTCATTTATACTCTTCTAAAAAAAGCCTTAATGAGATTTTTTAAGGTGGTATGAGAGCATGGTAACGTTAATAGATCATCACCACATTCATTTTAAGTCCATATTAAACAAATGACTCCAGTATTGAGAGAAACTTGGTGAGACTCCACTATAATTTACTTTTATATCTTTTTTTCCCCTTCAGATCTTGGGTCTTCCTACTGCTTTTTTTGCCAAAAGAAAAATATGAGATCTAAATCCTTCACAGACTGTTTTGACAAATTACACAGGCACATTTTTTTCTACCTTAGTAATTCATGTTGTGTTGGAATTATACTAGAGCTGCTAATGTTCAATCATTAGTACAGCCTTTGTCTCCATCACTCAATTAATCTTTCAACACAGAATAAAAAGCTCTCAGCATCAGCAACATTAAAAGCAGAAAGAACATATTTTTTTCCCACATTGGGTTCACATATTTAGTAACAGAAGCGTGTGAATGCAAAAAAAGTCATACTTCATCTAATGAATGGAGGCCAGCATGCAATGCAGCAGACCAGAGAGAAAGAGATATGCACCTTTCCATCACATCTTCTGCAGCTGTGGTTCCAGTATTACCACTCATCATAAAACTGAACGTCATCAATGTGGAGGGTGTCATGATTCATTTTAGCTGTTTGTTTCAGAGTGGAATTAGAAGAAAACCTTTTTGTGCTGCCAATGTTTACAACAAAGAATTGTGTGCCATAGTACCTGACAACTATCAAGCATGGTGGTGGCAGCATTATGCTAAGGTTTTTTTTTATTGCCAGTAGTTCTACTAAATTACAGTTCTGAATACTTAAGAAATACTTCTAACTTACTTCAACTCAATGGCTAGATATTTGAAACTTTTGGTTTTCTAGCAGGTTGTGGTTTTAAACATAATTTTAATTGACCAAACTGTCAAAGATTCAGAAGTTGCTCTGATTTCAACCCTCTCTGTGAAGTGGGTAAAAGCTTAAAAGACAGTTCCGCTCCAGTCAAATGCTTGTTCATGACTTAAACATTTTCATCTCTGAGATCCAACTTGTGAAAGTTTTTTTTTAACCAAATTTTAGGAGGACTTTATACACATTCACTAGTGGCTGTGTAATTTTACAGTTCAACAATTCCAGGTGAACTGCCGTTTGTCTTAAGAACTGGTTGAAACCTTCACAGCGAAGTTTGTAAAAGCTGTCAAAATCTTTCTCTGAGATTTTAGTACAAATTGGAATCAAAGCATCCCACATTTGCTGCAGATTTGTTGGCTGCACATCCATTAGGGCAAATCCCCCAAAATCATAATAGAGATATCTGTCTCTGTTAGGATCTGGCACCCACGGAGGCCATCGAAGTACAATGATCTCCTGCTCAGGAAATCATTTGAACATTATTTGAGATTTGTAACAAGCTGTATTATCCTTCTGGGAATAGCCATTATAAGATGAGTACATGCTGATAACATGGCCTGTAACAATGCCCGGTTGTGCTTACTAATGCTTAATTTGTACTAAGGCTCACAAAATATAACAAAGAAATATAAAAAACAAAGATATTCTACAATTAACAACCTAATCCTTTAAAACAAGGCACAATGGATCCATGCTTTTAACATAAAAATTATAATTAACTCACATTCATTCTTAAAGTTTAACAATTTTATTTTATACAAGGCAGAACAAATTATTGGAACATGGCTCTCCTTTCTAAAGGTACAAGCTGGAGAGAGAGCAGGATAATTTTGCATTCAGACTTTATTTAAGCTTTGCTCCAATATAAGATTACAAGGGAGCTTTAACCTGCCATTAATAAGTAAAGACTGTGTGCGAGCCTTTAACTGATCCATCCATGTTACATAAATATGTACCTGTAAGATGACTTACTTTATCCTTGCCAGTGGGCTGTTGCCCCAAACCATGCAGAATGTTAGCCAATCAAACCTCTGGCTTTAAAAAGTGCAGGATTTGTCATTCTATATTGTATTTTAAAGTCACTTTATATCCAACACTTCTAAGTGTTGCTGGTGATAAGATCATGCAACCTGTTACTGTCCAAACTGGAAGAGTTTGTGTGAACAGCCACTTCACATCCCTCATCTTAGATGACAGATGCAGCCCAGCAGGTAAAAAGTTTGCCATGTACATTTCGGAGGTGGTATTTTTTCTCCCTTGGTTGTAACAAGATGTTATTTGTGATACAGTTGCCTTTTTCTGATATATAATTAGATTTTCCAATTCCCTCCTCTGACATCAATGATATTTTACTTGGTGAATTGAGCTATAATTTGTAGTGCTTGGATGCCGAAAACATTATTTTGGATCCGTCTGAGAGAAAATCCTTAATAAAGTAAACTTCTGCACACAATTCTTTCTATTTAACACATTATTGTTGTTAAATAAACACACAGCTCTGGAATAAAAAAAAAAAAGTTTAAATAAATGTCTAAAAACACTATTTTTTTTTGACATTCATATCATGATGAGTATGTTAGTTTCTTACTACATGCTGAATGCCTTAAAATCAACTCAATCTTCTCAACTTCACTCTCTTATCTGAGTTTTAATGAGGTAATAGTTCTGCACAGAGAGATTTATTTCTTTCAATAAAAGATCTTCTCCTCTCAAATGACTAAAACTGAAAAAAGATAGGGTGCAGCAAAGCAGGAAGCATGCAGTCAAAATGGATTAACAGTAATGGATGTTACACATCCATTTATCTTTATTTTTGAGAACCAGATTCCAGCTCTGTGAATTGCTTCATTCAATGTTTTTGTTGTCTTAACCAGATAAAGGAATTATTCCCAACAAGGTAACAGCTGTATTAAAATAACCAGAGGGGAACTTCTGCTGATGTCAACCTGTGGTTGCTCTGTAGAAATAATGAATTTGACCACAAGGCTTTAGAATTCAGAATAATGTTTTTTTTTATGATCTAGTTCATCCTTAATTCTTTACTTGCTTACAAGTGTATTGCTAAACAAGGGTTTTCTTTGACCACTTTTTGAAAGTCTTTCAGTTTTTATTGTTTAAGCAAGACCTCTGCATCAAGCCAAATCTGATCCTGTGCTGCTTTTTGCCAGATCTTATTCCTCTGAAGCTTCAAGGTACGTCAGATCTTCACTGCAGATTCAAGCTGAAGCTTATTCTCTCTGTAACTTCAAGTCTGGTCTGGTTTAGACTGGTTCTGGTCTGCCTCAGCATGAACTGTCTAATTCAGTCTCTTTCATCTCCAGTTCATATCTGCCTGCCCCCATCTACAACACTCTCCCCCATGACAATAAAATATGACACGCAACACTGTGTGGGTGAATGATCGGGTTCAAACTTGCAAAATGTTACCCTTTGGAGATAGAGACCCTCCTTCTGGGCAACTATTGGGTTTTCTCCAAAACGTAGGCTGCTGTGGTTCAAAACTAAATAAAACTCTGAAATGTTAACAGGAGTCCCATCAGCCACTACAGCATCAGGTAACCATGGTGATTAAATGAAAGCTGATTGAGAGACACTTTGAGAGCTACAGTATAGCAGCCTAACTGATCTCCTCCCTACTGCTTTCAGATCACCTAACATCTACACTGG